GTATGTATCAATATTTTTTTTTATTACAAGCATTCAAACTGCTCTTCATTTTCATGAATAAATGGTTCAAATCTATTTTTAAATGACCGTTGGACTTCCCTTTAAGACGGTAGAAGTAATCTTATTCAAACATTCAGTAAGTACGTTTCGACACAAATAATCCAGGATTCTCTATCGAGTTTTGTAAACAACGGATTTGACGTGCAGCAAATTAAATTCATCGGTGCATACTGACTTCTTTTGCACATGTATTGCACTCGCTCTCCTTTAGTCAATTTTCACATAGTGTCAAAAATCACATTATTTCGACAACTATATTGAAATATCCCAAGTGGGCGTAGCCCTTACTATCAGGCAATTATTGCATTGACAAGGTTTCCGGAATGGGAATACCTTAAAAGATCCCTCTCGAAGAAGAAATTCAAATTAGTTGGGCGAAGTGTATTTCGAAACGCTTCTCCGACAAAGTTCGGCCAGATTTAAGAAACAGTTAACGAAAAATCCGAGATCGAACTAGATTCAGCTCGCCTGAGGCGAACGCAAAGATACCAAAGGAATGAAAAATCGAGCCGCAAAAAAAAAAGTTGTACCTTAAGACGGATCCGAAACCTCGGCCAAAGAGACATTATTGGGGATCGCTGCCGAGGCGTGTGTCGATTTGCCATGGAGTCCATATGCAGAGAGACCCACCCAATTAATCGATTTCCCGATCAATCTTCATGGAAGGTTTATCTTGAAATCTCTCTTTCTAATTACCTCGTTACCTCCATTCATAATGCGATAAATCACAAGGATGGGGAGTAGTTCTCTCTTTTCTCTCAGGCATAAAAGGTGAAGACGAATACGGCAAACGTCATGCAGATGACGGCGTTGATGTTCGCCAATCTAAGAGAAGAGAAAGGGGAATGAACACTTGATGAGACGAGGGAGGGATGTGGCTGAAGTAGGCGCAAGTTGGGTGTGGCGGAATGAAACTTGAGAGAGGAGTGTGACCGGAACGATACCTTCGCCAGAAGGGAGGTTCGTAGAGGAAGTCGGCAGCCTTGCTAGCCTCTTCCTCCTTGCTCATCTTATGCTGGGTCTCCTCCATCGCTTCCTCTTCGGCATCGGGAGCATCCAATCCGCAGACGCAGTCGATGGCTCGTTTCCACAAGGGCGGAGTCCCCGCTTCCGCTGCGAATAGTACGTACAGGTTCGTACAAAAGCTTAGCCATCGACGCGTAAACAGTGAGGATTAGGGAATATCTCATTGTGTTATGCGGAAGCTCAGGCAACTTATAATAGGAGCCCTTTATTTACAGTGTATGCATATAAATTCCAGTTTCGTATATGTAGTTTTAAATTTAAAAAATATAAACGTGATATCAGAATCCCAGCTGATTCGACCTTTTTGAACATAGCGAACACCAGTCGGCGATGCATTAGAAATATGCTGGGACGTTAAAGCTCATGAACTGACTCATTGTGCAGGTTGCATAATTTAGCAAATTAGCAGAAAAAAAAATCAACTAGAGATGACAGCTATTATTAATCAAATTATTAAGTAATTTATTAACCAGCCCAGGTACAGATCTGGCATTCCACTGGCCCCTGCATCACTAGAATTATGATACATTCACCGCATCCTAACCATCCAACTTTGAATAAATTAATTGCTGACATTGGTTTGGCAGAGCCCTACTTGAAAACGGCTGCACAACTAGACATGTTCTCCATGGTTTGCGCGTCCGCATGGTGTGGAGATAGAAGGAGAGTGCGTGCAGGATGCCAGATGCACATTTCACGCGTACGTCAGGCAACCATGTCTACGCGGCTTGGAGTAGCCGCTCTCCCCCATTGTATACCGTATTAAGGATCCGTCAGCTGCCAGGATTGGGTGAGAAGTGGATGTGTTAGTGAAAGACGGGCACCCCGACCCAGGCGGAAAGCCGCGCGTGCAAATTGGGTCGTGTTGGCCGGTCGCTATTGTTACTGCGGACAGATTGAATGAAAAAAGTGACAAACCGACCGCAATATCTGGCATTTCCTCATGGTACCTATAGGAGTGCCAGATAATTAGTTTCAGTCGGTGAATATGAGAGCTCATCGATCACTCCGGCCGCGCGCTCACCTCGTCGTCGCAGCCGCTCCTTTTCCTTCTGCCTCTGCCGCTCCTCCTCTTCTGGGTCCGCATCCAACTCGTCCAGGTCGATCCTCACCCTCCGACTGAACCGCGTCCCGAACGTCAGTCGCGGCAGCTGGAAGATGAAACAGAGATGGATGCACTCTCGACGCGCAAGACGAGGAAAAGCGAGGGGACGGGACACTCACGTGGGACCTGTCGATCGGCTTCGTGAGGAGGCTCATGACGGTCGTTACGAGGCAGACGAACAAGAAGAGAAAAAACCCGAAATGGAGATAGTGGAAATCGCCCACCATACGCTGGATGACCTCGGGTCGGGTGTCCGGGTTCCCTGTGAAAGAATGGAGCGGCGTCGCGTATTATTCAACCAATCAAGTTTTTAAAACTTATAAATGTTTCTTTTCATATTTCGGTACAAATTCATATAATGTTTCATGATTACAAAATCCTCTAATAATGACATATTACCACGAGCAATCGCGATGAAACATGTTGCCACTAGTGATCAGATTTCGCCCGGAAACTCCACCAGTATCTTAGACTTAAATTCATAGAGCCCGAAAGTTGTGGTTGCGGCAGTCACCCCAACGCGCGAGACCTACGAGACTATGTCATTTCAGGCCATAGGCTTCGCCATCCACCGCTCAAAACGGTGTCCGTAGGGCTGTTACTAACTGAATACGTGTCACGTTTTCACTGATCGACTGCAAGTTCTCTATTTGAATACATTGTTGACATTTTTTTTCGGTATGTATTTTTTTTGTTTTGTTTCGTTGGGGCAGGCGTGGCGGTTCGCTCCATCGCTTCCATGCAATAGTTTTCTGTTTACTTTTCATGTCATGGTCGATTTATTTGAGTTCTCATGATTTATCCAGTCAAAATAATAACGTAAGTTCTTCGTTTAATATGTCGCACAAACGAGCCGCTCCTCCCATCAAAATGGTGGCGATTTTTTCCAGGTGAGGTTGAACGCGAAGAAAAAATGCTGGAGGTCCCATAGGACGACGATTAGGCAGTCGCTGCAGACAAAAAAAAACGATTGGTGTTGGCGCGGAAACAACGTTTGCCATTGCAGCTGCGGTGCGAGTTGCCCAAATCGGTGCTTGAAAAAGGTGCTAGCTGTAATGGCTAGAATAAGGGATGAACGGCACGCAGCTGTAAGTAGGGAGCATAGGTCAAACCGCAGAACATCAAGAGGCCACTCACGGGGTCACTCACAAGGCCACTCACTCAAGAGAAAATCAGGAAAGTCGTCTTGAGTCTCATGAAAACCTGCTAAATCGAGGCGTTCACAATGGCGATTGTGGCAATGAGCTCGAATTTCATGATGAATGTGTTTAGGAACGAAATTTCCCTGTGTACTGGTATCTGTATGTGCATACAACTAATGAAGCGGTTCAGTTCCGAATGAGTAATGCGATGAACAGAGGATGTCACGGAGATGTTATGCACGCAATAGACGATTCAAATTTCCGCCTATTAGACTTAATTATTCAAACTCGAAGCGAGACGAACCAAACTTAAAGATCAATTTAGTCAATTGAAGTTCTGAGAAATTAGGACAGATGTCAGGATGAGATCCGATGTCTCTACTAGGAAGGGAAGTAACCCAAGCGATAGTTCCGATTTTGGCCCAACTTCGGTCGTCGAGAGGAATATCAAAACGGAGCGAAGTCGCACCAAAGCATTGCGACGATTCTCGTTGAGTTCATTCCCGATTTCTCGAGTGATTTCCCTCTCCGCTTGCCCTTTAGATCCGATCACAAGCAAGATGGTGAGAAAAAAAACCCAGCGGAATGTGCTGAAGACGCTCATTGACGCATATGGAAGAATCAGACACCAACTGATTCCGACGAGATCGAGCTGAAGGATCACCTTCAACGTAAGTATCTTTTTTAAAACCTCCCTTCACGAAAAATTCTATAAAATCCTATAGTACTTTTGAAACACAACTATCCAATAGAATCATTTTTGGAATCCTTTAAGATTATCATAGGATTCCTATAATAAGTATACTCCTGTAGGATTAGTATTAGAATCCTATAGGAAAGCTATGCGAATTGTTTGTTTAAAAAAATATTACAGGATCCTTTAGGATTTTCTCGTGAGGGTCTCCTACATAATATCACAATTGAAATTATCCGTTGCATGTGGCTCTTCTTTGCTTCAATATTGTACGTGTGTCAATTGACAGTACTGGCAAGACATGACAGTGTAAGCAAAGTTAGTGGACGGTTTTGCAGATTCATCGAATCTTTGATGAACCAATCAATCACGAAATAAGACCAATAAAATGAAAGGAACGAACTAGTACTAAGAAATAAACTATAATAATCTCTATTGATTCAAGAGAGAAGGAAGCTGCAATGTTTGACTCCATTATTTCACTGCCGTAAGCAGTGAACGCCATGGAAGCAAAAAAAAAACGACTTCACCATTGTTTGAGTTATAAGGAGCTCTGTGTCTCCCCTTTCACAATACGTCCATTGACTGATGTGGAAACATGTGGATGTTCCTCTAAAAAAGTTATCATAGAATATCCTCTGGTTGGGGTGATGTCCACCTGCTTCAAAACCCACCTGGAGAAGTGTGTGGTTAGGGCGCAGGGGGGATTTCCGCGTAAAAGGGACTTTTGAGCACCCGGGATTGATCCAGGTGGGATTTTGTACTGGGCGTTACGCATACAAATCCACTACCTGGCAAACCCTATTAGCAATATTTTAGAGTACTCCTAGAGATTATGAGAAAAACCTTACCGCATGTGGGAGGGGGAAAGCCGAATTCGAGCGCGAACCGGATAAGGCCCACGATGAGCCCGGACATGAGTCCCCAGAACGCCCCGGCCTCATTAATGCGTTCCCACATCAGGCCCAGCACGTACACTGCGCATATCGGCGGGGAAAGAAAAGACGTGATGCTTTGTATGTAGTCAAACAATCCCGACCTCTTAAACGTCTGGATGATGGGCAGCCAGGCGATACTCAAGGCCACCAGCCCCACCACGAAGCACCTGAAACATCATGAAGCACCATGAAGCACCAAGATCGCCATATCCAATTGCCAAAAGATCTCCTCGGAGTCGACACACCTTCCAGCGACTAGGAGTTCCATATCCGTCGCGTTCTTCCGAAACCGTCTGTAGATGTCGATGCTGAAGATGGTGGACGACGAGTTGAAGGTGGACGTGAGGCAGTTCATGAGCGACGCCAGTATGACCGAGAGCATGAATATATTTTTCGACAACTACATTGAAATACCCCAAGAGGGCATAGCCCCTACTATCAGGCAATTATTGCTTTGCCGAAAGGAATGAAAAGTCGAGCCGTAAAAAAAAAACAAAAAAAAGTTGTATTTTAAGACAGATCCGAAACGTCGGCCCAAGAGACATCCTTGGGGATCGCTGCCGAGGCGTGTGTGTGGATTTGCCATGGAGTCTATATGCAGAGAGACCCACCCAATTTAACGATTTCCCGATCAGTCTTCATGGAAGTTTTATCTTCAAATCTCTTTATTGATATCAATCAAAAATTAATAAAAAATTGCTTAGCGGGTCCTCAGTCGCAATAGTTTCGTTTAGTCTCCAGTCGCTAATTTTGAATTAATAATATATAACGCCATGATTTTGTCATTAGTAACATAATGATGAAAACATGCGAGAATTTGAAACATTTCATTGCTCTTTCCATTCATAATACGATAAATCACAAGGACGGGGAGTAGTTCTCTCTTTTCTCTCAGGCATAAAAGGTGAAGACGAATACGCCAAACGTCATGCAGATGACGGCGTTTATGTTCGCCAACCTAAAAGAAGAGAAAGGGGAATGAACATTTAATGAGACGAGGGAGGGATGAGGCTGAAGGAGGCGCAAGTTGGGTGTGGCGGAAGAAAACTTGAGAGAGGAGTGTGACCGGAACGATACCTTCGCCAGAAGGGAGGTTCGTAGAGGAAGTCGGCTGCCTTGCTAGCCTCTTCCTCCTTGCTCATCTTATGCTGGGTCTCCTCCATCGCTTCCTCTTCGGCATCGGGGGCATCCAATCCGCAGACGCAGTCGATGGCTCGTTTCCACAAGGGCGGAGTCCCCGTATCCGCTGCGAATAGTACGTATAGGGTCGTACAAAAGCTTAGTCATCGACGCGTAAACAGTGAGGATTAGGGAATATCTCATTGTGTTATGCGGAAGCTCAGGCAACTTTTAATAGGAGCCTTTTATTTACAGTGTATGCAGATAAATTCCTGTTTCGTATATGTAGTTTTAAATTTAAAAAATATAAACGTGATATCAGAATCCCAGCTGATTCGACCTTTTCGAACATAGCGAACACCAGTCGGCGATGAATTGGAAATATGCTGGGACGTTAAAGCTCTTGAACTGACTCTTTGTGCAGGTTGCGTAATTTATCAAATTAGCAGGAAAAATCAACTACAGATGACAGCTATTATTAACCAAATTTTTAAGCAACTTATTAACCAGCTCAAGTACAGGTCTGGCATTCCACTGGCCCCTGCATCACTGGAATTATGATACATTCACCGCATCATAACCATCCAACCTTGAATAAATTAATTGCTGGCATTGGTTTGGCAGAGGCCTACTTGAAAACGGCTGCACAACTAGACATGTTCTCCATGGTTCGCGCGTCCGCATGGTGTGGAGATAGGAGAGTGCATGCAGGATGCCAGATGCACATTTCACGCGTACGTCAAGCAACCATGTCTACGCGTCTTGGAGTAGCCGTTCTCCCCTATTGAATAATCAAGATCCGTCAGCTGCCAGGGCTGGGTGAGAAGCGGATGTGTTAGTGAAAGACGGGCACCCCGACTCAGGTGGAATGCTTCGTCTGCGCATTGGGTCGTATTGCCCGGTCGCTTTGGTTACTGCGGACAGACGGAATGAAAACCTAGAGAGTACCAGCCCAGGTACAGACCTGGCATTCCACTGGCACCTGTACCACTGGATTTGCTTTATATATTCACCGCATCCTAACCATCCAACCTAGAAATACAAATAAATTATATCTGTCATTAGTTGGGCGTAAATCTATATGAAAAGGCCTGGACAACTAGACATGTTCTGGATGGTCCGCGCGTCCGCGTCGCGTGGAGATGGAAGGATAGTACTGATATGTAGTGTATGATGCTAGATACGGCATTTCACGCGTACGCCTAACAACCCTGTCTACGCAGTCGGGAGCAGCAGCTCTACTGCATTATCTACTGTGAACCCGTCAACCATCAGGGCAGAAGGGGAAGTGTATGCTTTAGTGGAAGACGGGCACCCAGACCCAGGCGGAAAGCCGCGCGTGCAGATTGGGTCGTGTTGGCGGGTCGCTATGGTTACTGCGGAAAGATTGAAAGACAAAAGTGACGAACCGACCGCAATATCTGGCATTTCCCCATGGTATCTATGGGAGTGTCAGATAATTAACTTCAGTCGGTGAATATGAGAGCTCATCGATCAGTCCGCCCGTAGTCCCTTACCTCTTTCTCTCAGCCGCTCCTTTTCCTTTTGCCTCTGCCGCTCCTCTTCTTCTGGGTCCGCATCCAACTCGTCCAGGTCGATCCTCACCCTCCGACTGAACCGCGTGCCGAACGTCAGTCGCGGCAGCTGGAAGACGAAACCGAGATGGATGCACTCTCGACGCGCAAGACGAGGGAAAGCGAGGGGACGGGACACTCACGTGGGATCTGTCGATCGGCTTCGTGAGCAGGCTGATAACGGTCGTTACGAGGCAGACGAACAAGAAGAGGAAGAACCCGAAATGGAGATAGTGGAAATCGCCCACCATGCGCTGGATGACCTCGGGTCGGGTGTCCGGGTTCCCTGTGAAAGAATGGAGCGGCGTCGCGTAATATTCAACCGATTAAGTTTTTAAAACGTTTAAATGTTGCTTTTCATATTTTGGTACAAATTCATATAATGTTTTATGATTACAAAATCCTCTAATAATAATATTTTATCACGAGCAATCGCGATGCATCGTTGCCCCTAGTGATCAGATTTCTTTTTTTTTCTACTGGGGTTTTTGTACTGTTGGATTTTGTACTGGGCGTTACGCGTACAAATCCCCTACCTGGCAATACGTATTAGCAATATCTTAGAGTACTCCTAGAGATTATGGGAAAAGCCTTACCGCATGTGGGAGGGGGAAAGCCGAATTCGAGCGCGAACCGGATAAGGCCCACGATGAGCCCGCACATGAGTCCCCAGAACGCCCCGGCCTCATTAACGCGTTCCCACAGCAGGCCCAGCACGTTCACCGCGCATATCGGCGGGGAAAGAAAGGACGTGATGCTCTGTATGTAGTCAAACAATCCCGACCACTTAAACGTCTGGATGATGGGCAGCCAGGCGATACTCAAGGCCACCAGCCCCACCACGAAGCACCTGAAACATCATGAAGCACCATGAAGCACCAAGATCGCCAGATCCAATTGCCAAAAGATCTCCTCGGAGTCGACACACCTTCCGGCGACGAGGAGTTCCATATCCGTCGCGTTCTTCCGAAACCGTCTGTAGATGTCGATGCTGAAGATGGTGGACGACGAGTTGAAGGTGGACGTGAGGCAGTTCATGAGCGACGCCAGTATGACCGAGAGCATGAGACCCCTCAACCCGTCCGGCATGACCTCCACCACGAGCTTCGGGTAGGCTCTGTTGAAGCAGCCGCTCTCGCTACCGCAGTATTCCTCGCACAGGCGCGGAACCGAACATCCGATTTCGTCGGGGAAGATCACCCGAGCGGCCATCCCAGGAAAGACGAGCAGGAACAGCGGCAGGAACTTCAAATAAGCGGCGAAGATGCAGCCGCTCTTCGCATGGATCATGTCCTTCGCGGCCAGGGCCCGCTGGACGATCACCTGAAGATACACTACGAAAATTGTGTTGAATTACCTCTAAAATGTCCACTCTTCGGGTGGATTCGGAACCAGATAAATGTCCTAACTGTGAATCCACCTGTAGGTATTCCAAGGTCACCTGTCCAATGAATGACATCCACTTGCTTCCTAATCCACTTAAATTCATCCTATATGGAAGCGACATTTTTGCGTGGGGAGGGACCGAAACAGAGAATGCATGTGATGAGTTAATACCAGATCCGAGCACCAGTACCACACAGCAGACACGGTGACTCCAAAAATGAGACCAGTCCAGGGGATATCCGCCGCTCCGGGACTCGGGTCCCGGAAGATGTGCATCGCATAGTCCGGAGGAGCATTGCAAATCTTCCTGGTGTAATTGTCGACCATGGAGACATTCGCATACGCATCGAAGTAGTCCTCCACCAGCGTCTGGTACCCACCGACCCTGATGAAGGTCTTGATGGTGAGAATGAAGCACCCGATGACGATGATGACGGTCTGCACAGAATCCATCCAGATGACAGCCGTCAACCCCCCACCGATGGTGAAGAACCCAGCCAGCACAAGCAGTGCGATCGCTGCTGAATACATGTCCAACTTCATGCTCTCCTCAAGAAATATCGCTCCCGCGAACAGATCCGCCTACGCATAAATATTCCAGTAACACCGTGAAGCGAAGAAATCGCCAGGAATAGCGGAGTCCCTTACAGAGATCTTTGTGAAGACGTAGAGGATGATCGCCAGCACCGACAGGTAGACCCGAATGCGCTGCCTCCCGAACCTCTTCCTCAGATACTCCGGCATAGTGAACACTCCACTGGACATGTAAACCGGGACGAACACCCAACCGAGGAGGATGAGCACGAACATGGCGTTGATCTCGAAGGCCGAGATGGCGATGCCATTAGCCGCCGCCGCCCCAGCGAGCCCTACGAAGTGGCCCGACCCGATGTTGCTCGCGAACAGGCTCGCCCCCACCTGCAACACATCGACGGATCTCAAGTTCGGTGGTGACGGAACAGCGGACGGGAAACTTCTAGCTGTACTTTCAGTTCGAACTGATGTTCGCTAGCACTAAGAGCTTGCTAACCGCTTGATGCCAGCTTGCTAACCGCTAACTGGATCTGACCGCTTCTTAGTTCACTCTAGCGCTTCACTCTTTTTCCCATCGCAGAGCTCCGCGAATCATCTGAAACGATCACACAAAGGATCAAAACGTACCGTATTGACATGCGCTTGTGTTGAAAGTGCATCATCACACAGATGCGCCAAAACATGGAATTTGATCAATTTTTAAATGAAACGAATGACCAGATAACCATAGCTTGAGTAGCATGTCTCTTTGGATTAAAAATCCAAACTGGTCAATATGACGCTGAAAAAAAAAATTGCCTGAAAAATACGCTCCTTACTGATCAGCAATTCCTGGGCACAGTACCTGGGCACAGGTGGTCAAGTCCGTGCAGGGCATACTCACGGTGACGCTGTTGTTGGAATATGTTGGTTGGGAAAATTTCATCACAAAACCTTTGCAACTCTCCATCTTTCCCATACAGCTTCAATGCATTCATCTTCCCCGCGCGTTGAAGTCTCCCATCCCGTCCAACTCTTCAAGGAACGTCGTATGGCATGGTTATCAGGTACATTGACCCGAGTTCGACTCTTTTCCTGATTGGTTTCTTTTCGATCATGCTGTCGGCCAGCTGATGATTTGTGATACTCGGATTATTCCGAATTCGGCACAGTTGGATCGACTCTGTTGCAGTCGACGGTGTATTTCTCCTCCCTTAAAGAGAAACCCTATAGGATCCTATACGATTTTTGAAGCATGAAAATCGTATAGGATTCCTTTAGTACTCATATAGGATTCCTATAGGATTCTTATAGGATTCTATAGGTTTCCTATGAGAATCCCATAGGAATCCTATACGAATTTTATGCTTCAAAAATCGTATAGGATCCCATATGATTTTTTCGCAAGGGCTTCATTTCTGACGTCTTCTCATCTATTACGGATGTGCTCCAAATGGTCCAAATTCAAAGTCCCGAATTCCTTGCTTGCGTTGTTTACATATATTTTCGTTCCCGGTCTGCCTTGAACGCATCATGCTGAAGATTCGCTAAGGTTCTGGGTCAGTCCGGGGTTGTCAGCTGGTTAGTAGTCACTCCGAAGCGAAGTGACTACCGAAGTCCTGATTGTTTCGAATGCTCGTGAGCATTCGAAATTTCGTCGTGAGAACTTTCTTGTGCAGCTTGGAAGGATTGGTTTCGTCATTAATTTTAAATACCGCCACTAATGCGAATCGACTCGAGACCAACTCACCCATTACCATGAACATTTGCTCCTTTTTCCTCTTCTTATTGGAAATAAACTGCAAATAATTCCCGAATCAAACGTCAAATCGAGCGACGACATACAATTTTACTTTAAAACCCGATATTAGTAGATACATTTTAACTCCCGACCAGATTGGGTTATTCGCTGACGACGAAAGGCAGGCAACAAGTCGACTGAGGACAGAGTCAAGACCTCGATCGTTACGACATATCGATGATTTCAGGCGAAGCCTCTTGCACTCAATTTTTCACATTCTTCTAATTGACATATACCGTGAAGTCTTCCTTCGCACATCGCGTTTTAATATCTACAGGGTGAGTCAAAAGCAATACCCACATTTTGTATGTGAATAACTTCTCAATGCTATATCTGATTTGAATGCGGTTTTCACAGTTCAAAAGACAATACAATTCTGTCTCGATGGAAGGATTTTTGCAATATTTTGCGGAAGGTCTCCTTCAGAAATGAAATTCCTATTCCGGGTATTCTATATAAATGCATTGGAATGTAAAATCACGCTTGCAGCACCGCGTCTAATTGTCTGAGTGCTAGAGTCAATGTGGCCTGCTGCGAACAATTCCAATTCGTGGAGAATTCAGGAAAATTGCTGATGAACGATTGACCGTTAATAAGCAATTTGCAAAACTTAGGCATTATTCTGAATTCGACGGATTCCGCTCGACAATTCAGCAAGCAATTCATAGGAGAAACCGTCAGTCGCATTTTGATCGCCAATATCAACACAAATGTTGATAGGACAGGTATCGTAGCAGACCTTCCCCAATCTGGACGCCCTCTGCCAGTCGAACAGAAAAGCAGACACAATGCTGCACGTATGTTTTGGATGATAATGCATTGATATGACCACCCAGAATAGGAACTTTATATCCAAAGGATACCATAAAAAAAATCATGCAAGGATCCCTCATCTGATACAGAATTGTCTTGTCTTTCGAATGGCCAAAACTGTATTCGATTTGAACTACCTTTCAGAAGTCATTAACGTTCAAGAGGGGGGCAGGACTTTTGACTCACCCTGTAGAAGTGAAATCTCACATGGAGCCGCACTTCGACATCGCGCTGTCCACGACCCAATTAATTTCTGACCGAGTTGAAAAATAGAAGACAAATGAAAGAGACGAAACGACGGCACTTTTCTCGCTTGCAGCAATGAATGAGATTATGATAGATCGTCCGATGGAAAAGATCCTGTCTAGGGTACATCCCACGATGCAAGTGCGAAATGGATCCGCTCCTCGTAGGGGATCGGGCAGTGGCGGAGGACTCACCGGGATGAAATGCATCTGGCGAGAAGCGAGGAAGTACCCGCTCATGCTGTGCCTCTTGCTCCGCACGGAACTCTGCAGGAAGAAAAAAGGGACAATAATCTCATGATGCACGTTGATGGGAATCTCGCAAGTCCACGCCAAGTAGCACACTCACATTCAATCAACGTTGATTCAACGTCATTTCGTCAACGCAGCTAACGTTGAAACCACGTAGCCTGTCAACATTGATTCTGTATTGAAAGTTAATTTTTTAAATCAAAATTTGAATCAACGTTGACATCAACTGTATATCAACATTGATTCAATGTTCAAAAGCAACATTGCAACGTTGATTCAACATTTGCTTATCGACCTACCAAATTGAAAATTCATTGATCGGAACCCCGTTCTCGCATTGATCGACTCATTTTCCTATCGATCACAACCCCGTCCTTATCGTCCGTAAAGTCCATCTCCATCACAATTCATGCAAGCCTATGAGTGCAACATACGGACGTGGGACCTGGATGTTAACGACACGACCAGCAGAGTTTTTGCGATCCAAGGAGAAGCCTTCCTGTTCTATCCCAACCTGATGGGATCCCGCCGCTTTCACCCAAGGAAGATGCGTTACTTGTAAGTGTCGCACGTGGGTTTTTCTGCGCGAAATTTCGTATCGAGGGGCGACCAACCCTCAGTAAGGGAAGGGGGGGGGGGGGCTTCCCAAGGCGTACCATCTCTCTCTCTCACATTCTCAAGATCGGATCCGACAGTAGCGAAGGCCGAAGAGAAAGTGCTAGGTCGAGAGCGTGAGACGAGACCCGCGCGATTCTACCACGAACTGTTTCTCGGAAATTCCCGAGCTCGTTCAGCATCCCTAAATGTCAGCGGCCATCTCAACGATATAAGCAGCAGCCGCTCGATCGCGTTCTCGAGAATGACCTGTGGAATACTTCTACGAACTTCGGATCGGTCTCGGCCAGGGATGTAAAAAACTGCTGGCCTTCAAGTTGATTTCGTCAACTTGGGAAAAAAAGTGCGAGCCGAAGAGAGGGAGACGTACACCCTGAGGCAGGCAGAAGGCGTCGCTCATGCGCACATGGGACTGCGGACATACAGACGCCCAAGCATAATACATCTATAGATGATTTGCAATGTAAATGCAATGTTCCTTCGCAACATTTGAGCAACGTTGACGTTTTGGACATTTACACATAGATGCAACATCGTACTTCAACATTTCCTTAACGTTGCTGGAACATCTTGTGTTACTTGGGTAAGAGCTCAAGCTTGATTCTTGCCAGATATCTAATAAAATCCAATACATTTACATACATTCTACTTTCTACGTCTTTCACGTGAACCTGTGGTCAGAAATGCGATCGGAATGACTAATTTTGACATCGGACAACCATATTTTTCTCTTCACTTGTAGCACTAGAAAAAACACTATTCTTTAAGTGCAGCATATTAAGGTTTCATGGTGACAGGACGAAACGCTATGAGAGTTGTAGACATGATCTCGAGGTTTGGGAATTTAGCAGTGAATTTGGGCAGGACTTAAGTCGAACCTGCAAGTCTGAAAGTGCATCAGGTGAAGCTTGGCAGATGGGGAGATGATGCAAATGATTAAAAGGGAAGGAACGACACGAATTGGAGTTTTTACCCATAAGCCGACGCCGATGACGATCACGAAGTAAGCGACGATCACAGCAATATCGCCCCCCACCAACGCCCCCACCGCAGCCATGACGGGGTTCTGAGGGAGCACCGACTTTCGCGCGCCAAGAACGGGAAAGACTGACGGCTCGCATAGGGACCTCCCTCGCATAGGGACCTCCCTCCAGTCGTGTCGCCACTTCACGCCCCCCGCCTCCACACCACTCCTCTCCACATTACTAAGCTCCTCAAGGGTGAAGTAGTTCCCCTTCCTCAACTCCTCCGTCCCTCTCATATTCAGCCTCTTCAATAGTGAATATTTTAAGCGAGTAGGGCAGAATTGCAATTTTTCTCGATCAAAATTCTGATTCGCTACCGGAATTCGACTTGTTGCTGTGATATCTTTTTTTCGGCATCAGTTTCGTTTGTAAACATGATGGGTAGGCATATTGTGGAGTTTCTGTGTTCCAGAAAGCATGATTACGTATAGTATCAGCCACTTAACGAATCAGTGACAAATTTAAAGTCTTCTCCGTTAATAACAATTGCCATACATATTTGTTTATGCAGAATAACTTTCGTTGGAATAACGTCGGCCCACAACAGGGGGAAGTTCGCTCATATTGAACGATATGACTGAGCCAGCAGTCACACTGGTGCCATACTTGACCCATCCATCGCCCCTTCACTGGGCGGGACACGTGCAGGTATTGTGGCAATGCGGAAGTCAAGCCTTTATTTATTGGCGACCTTCTCACACGAAAGAGCAAACATTTAAAATATAGATACGTCAGTGTTTCGTGTTTTCGTGAGTGTATCATTGGACAGCCCTCGTATGAAAGAAGAGGGTATTGTCATTACACGGATGGGGTAAGTTCATAATTATTTTTGTGGAGCACCTGTAATTGAACGTTTTCCCTGTCCGTTGCAGGCTTTTTGGTGGGTTGGCCATGCTTCTTTTAAGAGCGGCCGTGAATTTTCCTTTGACCTCCTCCTAGTCGGGGACGTAAGAAAAGCGATGCCTTCACCCAGGAGGTTTGAAGGCGTCACAGACGCGGGGAGAGGCAAGGAGGTCTTTCCTTTTAGAGTTGACCAAGCAGTCTCACCTTAAGTCTCTCGCTTACTGTGGTAAACTGCACCGCGTGGCCTACCGACCTCAAGCGCCTGCCATTAAATGCCTACCATCTCGCTTCCGATTTCTATCCACGCTAGAATGTTTTTCAGTTCAATGGTTTGTTTCACCGTCCCAAGCATTTAAATCGGTATTTTTTTTTTACA